CTTAAGAACGTATCCATACATTGAGGAAAGTAACGGAGCATAGGCGGGCCAAGGAGAACAAGATGTGCCTTTTGTAAGAGGCACAGTGGTCAAACGTGTGTGATCAGGAAAATTATTTAAGTGGAGGACCCTACAAAAGGTAAGACATATAAGAATCAAAGTTCGATCAAATAACATATATTCAGTACACGTTTCCCCATAAATGAGGAATAATGACTTTTGAGCTTTGACAAAGGCAAATTATATCCATATACTCATATAGATAATATTGATTATATCGACACTAAGTAGCTGAATAGATAAATGTACCTTTTAGTTTAAATAACAAATAATACTTTGTATATTACTTTATATAATATTATCATCTTTTGTATGAGTTATATAAATTTATCATGTTGTTACCTTTAACGAAAAATCAAGGGAAAATAATTTTAATAACTTAACACCATATCATCGAGAAAATGTTGAAATGAGGGTGCAAATCCTTAGGTTTAAAACGATAGGAACGGTTTGCGCAATGAGTGCAAACGATAAGGACGCTTTGTGCTAATTATCTTTAATAAAAGTAATGTCTAATCCAATATACGTAATTTTTTTTTTTTAAATTTGATCATTCAATGCCACTTTTGGTAAAGGCATTAATCATTGGTTTAGTTTATTAAGAGTTCTAGCAAATTGAAAGGCAAAAATACTCCAATGACCGTGTTTGTATCGTTAGCTAACTTCTGTGACTTTACTGGATCAGAAAAATATTTTAAGGACTAACTTGAAATTTTCACAAACCTCGATTACAATTTGTGCAATCTAGTATTGAACTACCTTGATGTCGAATAATTTTGTTGATACATGAAAATTGGTTGCCAAGCCATACAAATTAATAACGAGACTATACCTTTAGCCACCAGTTTTTCCTTTTAATTCCGATTTTATTTAGCTTTGCAAAAATAACCAACATTTTAATAGAACCACGAGAAGCTCTTCCAATATTTTTCTTGAGTATTGGGACGGTTGGGATAAATGGGGTTGTTTTGACATATTTTTGGATGGGACCCATTTCTTATTTTTAGAAGATCTAAGTAAATTTGTTCTCCTTCATGATAACATTGAAATCATAAATTTGCATGCAAAATTGATGCTCGGGTGAATAAAAATTGGAGTTTAAAGTGGACTCATTGAAAGAAATTTATGTATTAGAGAAAAAACTATTCTAATTTGTCATAAATAGAAAAATGGACAATGCACTGACTAGTTTTTTTATATATGGTCGCACTTTTGAAAGGTGTAATTATATGTAACATAGATGCCTTCTCGATGTGCATGTAGAGGAGTACAAATCATAGATCGAATTAACACTTTGAACCATTGAACTAGTGTACGAGCACAATTTGCATATATGGAGTTTGCCCCTTAGAAGGGTCAATCTTTTGTTCATATTTTTATATATTTTGTTTTTTTTTCCTCTAACTTTCCAACTTCTATTAACTCCTGAAACTTATATGTTTGTTGTCTGTGTTAATAAAGAGATTTAATATTCTGATTAATGGTAGTATTAATGGTCATAATACATTTAACGGACAATCTATTAAGTCACCCATTATAGCCTATTATATAGTTCAGTAGTTAGTTTTTCCTCTATACACATGAAAATCCTTCTCAACCTTCAAATATATTTCCCAAATTTCTATCTTTTTATCAAAGTTTTGGTGGTAATGTTTAAGTACAAATCGAGTTTGCAAGTGTGGAAACTCAGTACTCAGTTTTTACAAATTATTTCGTTGTATCTTGAAAGAGAAACGTTCAATGATACCTTATGCACTTATGGTGATCTCCTCCAAATTTGGAATAAAAATCTCAAAAATCAATACCTTGTGCACTTATGGTGATCTCCTCCAAATTTGGGATAAAAATCTCTAAAATCAAATATTCTACCGAAATTTATAAATATTTTGCTTTTTTACAAATATGATAAAGATTGCTTTTGATAGGAGTTTAAATGAATGTTTCTTTCCTATTCCAATGTACCAGAAAATATTTCATCTCTAACAATTAGAATTTTTAGATGAAGGTTCATTGCGGTATCTGATGTGAAGGATATCAATCAATTTGCTTTAACACCATATAGACACACAGACAATCAATCACTCGTAGGCTTGGCCATGACCTTTGATAGAATGCTATTCTATCATGATCAAATGCTCAATTGATAGGTGTGGGTCCATGGCCGATTGATGAAGAATTGCACCTAGTGTAGTTGACCATATGAAATAAAATGTTGATATTAGTGGAGAACTAGATATTGTCTCGTCATCATGTTCAACTTAATATTTAGGATTAGTTTAAATGTACATAATCCATTACATAATGGATTACATCCTCTTCATATGGAGGGAGCTCACACACAATAAAATATTTATGAATTAGGTAATGGATTAGGTGTACATCTAACACAACCCTAATATTTACATAAGGTGTACATCTAGCACATCCTCTACATCATCTTCCATGTGAGGAAGGTGCAATCCATTAGGTAATGGATTATGTGTACATCTAGCACAACCCTAATATTTATGAATGGTGGTTCTTCTCGCTTGCTTAAATTCACTAAACAAAACCTCACCACACATATTTCTCTCTCACCACCTCCAATCTTTCTCTACCCTCGAAGAAATCATCGGAGAAAATACATAATACGCACATAAGATTTTCTTCCCTGTCCCAACTTTCTTTTAAACTGATTGTTGTTATTAGTATCAATGTGGGCAAAAAATTAACATCAAGTCTTTTTGTTGTCCATTTATAAAAACGGTTATAAGCCTCCGTTTTGGGTTTCATTATCTTCACCTAAAATTCTACTTTTTAAATTCAAATATTTATTTTAACGATATATTTTCATTTGACCTACAAATATTACTCACTTATAAAGCACTCATTTTTTTAAAAGTAGAATTTTAGCAAAATAAATCAAATAAAAAAGGAGGCTAAGTAGTCAAGGCAATGGGCCGAGCCGAGCCATCTCAGCCCTTAAACTCACGAGCTTGGCTCGTGGCTCATGAGAAACGAGCCACAAGCTCACGAGCCTAGCTGCGAGCCCACGAGCTTTTTGAATTTTTTTTTTTTTACTTTTTAACTTTTTTTAAAATTTTTCTTTAATTTTTCATGAGCCCACGAGCGGCTTGGCTCGAGCTCGAGTTCGGGCTCGTGCTCGTCATTTGACGAGCTCGAGTGGCTCAACTCGTTTGCCATCCGCTCAGCTCATTTGCCATCTCTAAGGCAAATGCCTGAATGTGCTTAATAGTTAATTTCTTAGAAAGTATTTTTAACTTCATAATTTTTTGGAAAGTACGAAAGTAAGTTGAAAATCATGTTTGTAAATGTAGAAAAAGTACAAGCGGACATGCCCTCTACAATGAAAAATATTGATAGAAAGGAAATTAAAAAAATGTTTTAATAAAGTGCGTGTAGTGTTCTTTAGTGCCCTTTCAACAACTATTCTTCCGTCACAGATATTTCATTTCCTTTCATCCTCCGCAATTTAGGGTTTCGACTCTATTATCCGTCTCTACAGTACTTCGAAGTGAGCTCTGCCTTATCTCATTTAACTCTTTAGCATCATTACCGTTTATCTAGTGATTTTTTTTATACTTTTGCTGCTTTTTATCAATTTCTCTGGATTTTGGTTTGGTTGACTTGATGCGGAGCTTGATTGAGTGATTTAATTGATTTGAGGATTTTGATGAGGTGGGTCGCATTTTATCTCCGATTTTTTTTTACTGGAGTCGAATTTGTAGCTGCACGCTCGGTTTGGCTGATCTGCTGATGATGCATCTTGTTGAAGTTGATTTCATGTCCATGTAATTGCGTTCTTTGAATTTGTTGTTATTTTTTGTACTTAGACGAAATGAGTTTCTTGAATCTAGTTTGTTTGTACCTGGGTATTTTATAAAGCTGCTAAAGTGCTAGTCTTAGGGATTCCCTTTTTTGTTCCTTGAAAAGTTGAAGAGTTACATGTTAAGCTGAATGTTCATTTGAAAACCAAAAGAGAGAAGAAGGAAGAAAGAAAGAAAGAAAGTGAAGAAGAGTAAACTGAATCTGTTGCAGTTGAATATTTCGCATTTGAACTTAAGAGAACTGTTTGTCGTTGCACAGGTCTTGTTCTTAGCAAAAATAAAAAACGTGAATGACACATCATTCACTTGAAAATTCTGCTTAGAATATATGGTATGCATATATAACTTTTTCTTTTAATGATTTCATTTCATTAACAGACATCAATGTACATTTTAAATTCTTGTATTGATCTACGAAGAAGATGAGATTCGAGTTCAAGGGTCCACACTAGGATGCTGCTCATAAAATTATTGGTTTTTTTTATAACTGGCTGCATGTTATCCCTAAAATAACGAATTACTATCTCAGTATTGAAATTTGGCAGTGTAGGGTTGTCCACCTGGCCTTTTTTTCACATATACTAGATGTTATGAAGTGAATTATGTCTTTGTTGTATATATTGATTCTAAATGTTCCTTTTCTTGTCCAGAATATTTTCCCTGAAGCTGCTTTGCTTATAGATGTGCAAGTAGAATGGTGTGTTCCATGGCTGCAGTATCATGAAGGTTCAGTGGGGAATACTTGGATAGTGTGCTAATTTTCTGCTTCTGTAAAAGGTTGACAGGACACTTCTGAAGGTTTTTTCTGAAGTTCAACTAGTTTGGTTTGGATATTTTTCTCATGTATTTATATTGTTTGGCAGGAAGATTCATTAAATTTTATAAGACCGCCTTGAACATATCTTCCTGCTTATGATGTACTGGTGCATTTTTTTAAAATTTTCTTTTATTGGGAAAATAACATGGTGTTCCTGAAAGCCATCATCATAAAAGAGAAAAGAAGTTGAGAAATTTTATTTAAATAGTTTGTTACAGGCTTGAGGTTTCAGAAATTACATGTAATAGTGGGTTGAAAGGTGAAAATTAGCTGGTAGTTTCTACTGTGGATCTCAGATGGATGACAGTGGACATCGCGAAAATGGAAGGTATAAACCACCTTTGAGTCAGGTATGCTGAAGTCATCAATCTCTGCACATTAAGTTACTGTCAATAATTGAGTTTCTGCTTGTTGAGTTTTTGTTAGAACCGTGTGGAGCCTAATTAAAGAGTTTACTTGAGGGCCCCATATTACTCATTCATATATTTATGTAAGGTTGACCTAGTTCCTACGTTATGTAAAGGCATTTGAGAGGGCTGTTTTTCATTGAGATAACGGAGGTGTGAGGGAAACCTTGTAATCTCGTTCATCATTATAGCGAACAACTCCAGCGATAAGTTTCCTCTCACATTGAGAGTGTACCACTATAAGCCCCTGTTTGTCTACCATTATTCCAAAAAATTGTTTGCTACAATAAGATTCTCCACCATACATTCACTCAATAATATATTCTACACACAAGTCAATAAAGTTACTTTAAATTTTAACCACACATTCTCCAAAAAATACTATTCATTACTCATTTTTCTCCCAATAATGGGAGACAAACACACCCTAAATATGTGGTGGTGTTTCTGTTTTTGGTTTATTTTATTATTGCTCTAAGGATTGGGATTAGAGCTTAAACCCAGTCAATTCTTGATCTCAAACCAATTAATATCATGGTATTCTAATAGTTTGCATTTGAAAACTTGTTGAAATACTTCTGTTTCAGTGGTTCATGCAGCATCAGCCATCAATGAAACAGATAATGGCCATTATGGCTGAAAGAGATGCTGCAGTCCAAGAAAGAAATTTAGCTCTCTCTGAAAAAAAGGTTGCCTTGGCAGAGCGAGATATGGCTATCCTACAACGAGATCAAGCAATAGCAGAACGGAATAATGCCATAATAAAACGCGACAACGCTATTGCTACCCTTCAGTATCGGGAAAATGCCACGAACAACAGTAATATGTCGCAATGTCCACCAGGATGCCAAGTTGCTCATGGGGTGAAACACATACACCATCCTCAGCAGCATATACATCATCAGTCCAACATAGGGGAAGCTCCATTCACGTCGGGGGAAACTCATCTGCCTGACACCATTCCATTGCCCCCAGTTGCTCCCGAGCCTGAAAAATCCCATCGTACAAAACGTAGAAAGGAGGCAAAGGCTACTACCTCTATAAAGAAGACTTCAACATCCTTGAAGAAGGTTAAACAAGGTGGTGAGGACCTGAATAAAACAATGTTCGGAAAATCACAGGACTGGAAAAACGAGCAGGATATTGATGGTGATGCTGATGACCTTAACAGGCAAATGGTTGTATCGAAACCAAATTGGAAAGATCAGGACCTGGGGCTGAACCAGGTTGCATTTGACGAGTCGACCATGCCGGTTCCCGTCTGCTCGTGCACTGGGGTTCTAAGGCCTTGTTATAAATGGGGAAATGGAGGTTGGCAATCTTCCTGTTGTACAACCTCTTTGTCAATATATCCACTGCCAGCAGTGCCTAACAAGCGCCATAGTAGAGTTGGTGGTCGGAAAATGAGTGGAGGTGCATTTAACAAGCTGCTCAGTCGACTTGCTGGGGAAGGTCATGATCTGTCGAGTCCAGTTGATCTTAGAAATCACTGGGCAAAGCATGGCACTAATCGCTACATCACCATCAAATAAATATCTGATAATGTTGGGCCCCAAGGAGGATAATTCATCGGGAAAACATCTATTGTATATGATGATGCACATGTATGAGAAGGATACATTGGCTTGCCTAGCTAATTGGGGATAGTACCATAAATTTTCATCTCTATCAATATCATGCAGAATTAAGGTCAGCTCTGCCAGAAATCTTCTTCTTTATTTTTGGTTTCCTCTTTTCATCGTTCAGAATGTGTAGATGTTGATTGACGGTGATATAATAGTAATGTTTGTCGTAGAATGGGCTATATGATGGCAAATTTGAATCCCGTATTCAAGTAACTGGATATAATTGTAAAAGGGTTTCATGATCAATATATATTATTGTAATTTGTAGCTGTACAAGTCATATATGTTAATTTGCAACAATAAGGTATGTTTATCATTTTCTTTCAAACAACAAACCACTTGGGCACTGTGCCCAATGTGAGTTGGATCACTTAGCCACGCTTCATAATTGGAAAAACGAGCACCATGGAAATATGCTCCGCCGAAGAAAGATGATGGAGAGTTGACTGAAATGGGCTAAACTTTTGGATGGTTGTCATTATCTTGTACAACGGATAGAGGTATCAAAACGACTGTCCAGGCTGCTCTAGAGGTTTGAAAATGTGTTGGGCCATCCAAGCTAGCTGGCCTGGGCAACCTAGCACATGAAAGCACGGCTGAGCTGTGATAGGCCATGTTGTGAGTCAGCCCAGCTTCTCAGTCCAACACATGGCGTGCGTTGGCAGTAATAAAACATGAAATTTTTTTAGGGAAAAATTCATAAATAAGGTGTATTCTTTACACCAATTCAAAAATAAGGTTTATAGTTTGAAACTTAAAAAATCAGGTTGTTTTTTTT